ACTATTTAACCTAAATTTAGTGGACATAAATATGCCACATCTGCGTGACCAAAAAAACAAAAAAAGTATGCCACATATGCTAATTTTTGCTAGTTTGCTAATTTTAAAATTTTTTTGGTTAGTGAGCAAATTAACCCAAAAAACATTATATAATGTGATCATTGGTTTCTCAAACAAAGATTAAAAAAAACACTCGAAATCTATATTCATTGCCCTATGTAATTGCATTAATACTTATTAATGTTTTGAAATTTACAAATAAAGAAATGAATAGTTATTTGTTAAATCTCCATATGTATTCGGAATTTTCCCCGGAACTCAATTCGGTTTACAGTAAATTGAATTCTTTAGTTCCGGTTTAATTTGGTATATATAGAGGTAGATCTACTCGGATTCGAGACGTCTCAAGTTGGGTTCCACTTCACGATACGTCGGATTCGAGAAGCTCCGGTTAATGGTCTGTCTCACCGAACCAGCCGACGTGTCCGATTCGCTCTCTGTTAGATTGTTACACACGTAAAAAGTAAACTACGACTAGGATTACGAATATAAAGAGAGGGAGAGAACCAAAACGCAGCGTTTTGCTACTATACTAGTATATATGGGAGATTTGTACGTACCGAACAGTGACTTAACCGATGGTCTCTTCGGTTTTGTGTCTTTCTTCTTCAACTCGGCTAAAATGAATGCAAACCGGGAACATCATTTGAAGCATTTAAAATGTGTAAAAATTTAGATGAACATACCTATTCCGGGGACTTGATAATCGTTGACGATTTCGAAGTTTTTGTATGTGTAGCCAACAAAATTTATGTCTTTTGAAGATAACATCTATACAGAGGAAAATAAAGGAAAAGAGTCGTTAATGAAGTTACGAATCTGTGTCGTGTTATTCCAAAAATGTTTTAAGTCAAACTAAATATATTTTTGATTAAACATTTTTTCTTCAAGATCGAAAAGAGTGATTAACTCGACTTACTTTTCTCCATGGTCCTGTTCTAGAGGGTGCTTGAGTTTGATTATCTACCTAAACATACATTAAAATATATATTTTGTCAATGAAATTAATTGATAGAGTAATCAGGAATTATTAACGT